CGCGACCCAGCCAGCCCTCGGATCGCCCCCGCTCGGCGCGCGCGACGTCGCCGGGCACGGGGAGCTCCGTGGAGCGCGGGACAGGCGACACCTCCTTTCAGCATGGGAAAAGGAGGCGACAACGATCTCAAGAGGAGAGGAAGCAAGGAGCCCGGGGGAAAGACCGGCACCGAGCCGCCGTAAACCAACAGCGCGGGAGAAGGACATGCAAGCGGCCTCTTCATCATCGGCGGCACCGCCCCTGGAGCTTAAACGCGCATGCAACACCCAGAAGGACTATCGCACGGCGATGGCGACGGAGGACGAGGACCCCCGCGGGAGCCAGGAGGGCGACGCCTCACGGTCGTCTTGTCGTTGTGTGGCGAGCGTTCTGGAAGGCGGGCGCGGCGTGAAGGTAATTTTACAGGTGAGGGGTGCGTTCATCGGCTTCTGGTAGTCCCTTGGACAATCTTGGGAATAGCTCCACCCACCCCTTCCACTGGCATTGTAAAATTGTCTTTGGGGTTGGCGCCGTGGGGGCTAAAGTGCCTTGGGGGGGGTGAAGTCCATCCGCGGGGAACTGCCGAAACAGCTGAACGCTCTCCTTGCGGTATTAGCCTGCGCGCCCTGGGCAGCTTGCCCAGGACGCTGAGCGTTAGCCAAAGTGCAGACGTCCGTCCTTACGTGAGTTCACGCATTGACGGCCGTTGGGGGGGGTATCACGAACGCTTCCCTCGCCACTGTTTGTTCACGATGCGCCAACATCCAGTATGGACAGTTGGCGCCGCCATTACTGACACTATTGAAGGAATTTGCGCTTAGAGGAAAAAAGGCAGCACGCGCGCGCGCCCTCCCCCCGCCCAGGTTGGGCTCCCCGAGTTACCAAATACACATACTGTGGCACATCCGCTCAAGGGACGTCCTAGCCATGCTTATTGCAAGGTCTACATATCCAAAATTTCGGCATGAGGACAATACTTGACCATATGCAGGTACATGAAGAGCAAACATATCAACGACAGAAACCATTGCCTACGAATTTCATTCATGCAGACACGGGAACTATTTGGCAACATGTTTCTGTTGTTTCTCGAATCTGCTGCGGAACATGGCGGGCGCTGGCACCCACGGCATTCGTGCTAGCGTTTTTTGTTTTACAAAGTGGCCACCATCGGCGGTGCGCATAAGGGGGGGTGGGGCGAGGGGGGCGGCCTTCCGGGTGGGCGGGGGGGGGGGTCCTAGAGACGGGGACCGGCTAACTAGCAGGACTGCTAAGAAACTACCTGCCTTCTTAGGCCCCAGCCCCGCGTTCGTAGAAGACCGCCCCTCCTGCCCTCCTGTGCGCGCCAACAGCACCAGAGGATATTTGGCGGCACTCGCGGGACGAGCTTCCACAACAGGCTGCGTGATTTTCTTCGTCCTGTGAGAGATACGATTGGTCTTTGTTTGAAGTAGATAGATGCGCCTGGCGCCTTTCCGCGCCCTTTCCCACACCACGTTTCACGACATGTGTTTGCCTGAGTCAGCTCGGGCTGCAATAATTTGTTTGGCGACCCTTTGTCTCACATCGTAGAGTCAGCCGCGCTTTGTTAAGATATACTGAACGTTTCCAAGCCCTTTCTCGTTTTCTCCTTGCTTCCGGTACTTCATCAGCCACTTACCGGCTGCGTTCATGTCATTCTGCCCTGATTAGTCTTGCGGTTGTTGTTGTAAAAAATGCGCGTTTTGATTCAATCATTGTGATATAGAGAGTTGGGCCATTGCTCAGGTGCGCATGGCAAGAGATCGATTGCATCATCATGGCTCTGACGCAATATGGTTGACATCCCCATTCGAGCAAGCAGTGACATATGCGTCAGGCGATGCCACCCCATTTCACGTCGTCCTGTGCATGGAACTTCGAACTCGGAGAAGTGAACGAGTGTGGAGCGCACCTTGAAGCGAGTCCTCTGCGGCACAGAAGGGCCACACCACACAAGGGCCACCCGTCCAGGGTTCGAGAGAACCACAGACATGGACGCAAGAGGGAAGGGGAGATCGACCATATTGTCAACAGTCTCCTCTTGCACGCGGCCTCTGAATACGCCTTCCCAGATTAGGCCGCCGTGTTCTGCGGCGAGGCGGGGCATGAGGAGGAGCAGCATCAGGAGGAGAAGACGGCGGTGTTGACCCCCTCCTGAGCTTCTTTTGTTTTTATCCCAGGGTTTGCCTGCCTTGACGGCTTGCCCAGTTTTCATGTCATGTTGTTTCACTTCGTCTTCCGAGATGCGAGCCCGATGCTTCAAAGAGGCCCCAGACGAGCATTGGGGGGCCCACCTTCTCAGCGGAGCTTAGTTTACCCACAGGGGCGCAGAGATATCAGCTTCGCGCCTCGCGGTCTGGACCGGGGAGCTGTCCTTCTGCAGGCCGTCGGCGTGAGGGCGCGAAGGTCATCACGGCTCGCGCTTCGAGCGGCGCCCCAGTGGGTCTGCCAAAGCTTACACCATGGATGGGCTTGCCGCGGGCAACCAAAGCGTCCGATCCAACATTCGCTGCACCCGCTAAGTTTATCGAGTCGCTTTCGGCCCGTCCCGCTGCCGCGGTTGAGTCATGAACAGGGTGCCGATTGGATGTCTCTTTGGGAGCTGCTCGGGGGCCCCTCTCGTGTCTATCGAGGCATTCAGGGGGGCCTCCCGAAGATCTCTTGAGGCCGCCTGGGGGCATCTTCGAGGCTCTTCGGGGCTTGCTGGCCGTCTCGGGGGCCATCTCAGGGGGGAAGAGCTCGCAGGATCAGTTCTTGGGCTCACCTTGGGGGCATCTTGGGCCCCTGCTCAGGCAATCGCAAACATGGATCAAGGGGGCGTGGATTAGCGACGGGTCTCGTTTCCATTTGGAATCGCGGATTTCCGCATTCGAGCGAGGCGGCACCAGCCGCATTTTGGAGAGGGCACCTCCCTCGATCCATGGATTTGGCGACCGCGCGCCAAATCCATGGATCGTTAATCCATGTTTGCTCCGCGCCCCCGACCTGTGGGGAACTTGAAGGCTGTCTTGAAGCGGTATCAGGAGGCCGCTTGGGCCGTCTTGGAAGATCTTACACCCGAAAAGGCGCGCATGCGAACATCATACGAAAACCCAGAATGCTGCTTGCATGATTTCGCCTTCATGGCTCAACTCATAGGGCATCCAAGACGGCCCAGCAGGCCTTCAAGACGGTTTCACGACAGGTCCCGAGACCATCTTGAGCCATGATGGGGGAGTGTATTCTTGACCAGGGTCTCGGGGCTTCTTGGACGAGTAAATCGGGGATCCCCAGGAGGGACTAGGGGCGCTCAGGAGTGCCCGTGACAGGGAGAGGTGGGCGCCTCAAAGAGCATGGACGCCTTCAAAAGCATTTAGAATGCTCAGCACAGAGACTTCGCACCGTCCTGAGGACTCTCCACTCAGTGCCGTCGGCAGGGTGGCGGGGAGAGAACCGCTGCAGCATTCGTTGTTGAGGGAACTTGAAACGACCATTCGCACCAGATGTCAGTAGATATCTACCCATGTATGCATATGCATATGCCGCCCAGCCGTTTGTTCCGACGCGCGGCCTTGCGTCTTGAGGAGGGCGCCGCGGGCACCAGGGCAAACGCCGCCTCAGGCGCAGGGCTCGCCGTTGGGTTTGCCGCGGTGCCGGCGTCGTCTGCTTGGGGCGCGGGGCGCAGGGCTTGCCGTGGGTTTGCCGTGGTGTTGATTTTGTCCCTTTGGGCGCGTCGAGACCAAATGGCGCCACGACGACATATATATATATATATATATAAATATATATATATATATATATATATATATATATATATATATATATATTGCAGCGTCCTTTGTTTCGGGAACGCGGGACGGCCGCGCCGAGCTAGAATTCTACATCCTCTTGTCTCGCCGCCCCGTCTGATCGAGCATTGCCCTGCCAGGCTGGCCAATCGGGCCTGGCCAAGAGCGTGGCGGGGAGCTCCTCCACATCCCTGGCCTCGCCGTCCTCCGTTTTCGTATGCTCGAAGAGGTTTATTTACATTTCTGGGAGTTTGATGTTATTCCTTTGGCGCGTTTGATGCGCCCCACCCCTCCCAAGCGTTACCTTACACACACACACACCCAGTAACGACCGCTACCATGAATCCATACATATTGCTAAGGCCTTACGGCCAGTGCCGCAGACCCTGGATACCTCGGCCCTCGAGGGTGACGGGATGCGTGATAAGACGTCGGAGGTAAATGAAGACGTGGCGGAGGAGGAGGAGGCGGAGGAGGAGGAGGAGGAAGGGGAGGAGGAGGAGAAGGAGGAGGAGGAGGAGCGAGGAGGAGGAGGAGGAGGAGGACGAGGACGAGGAGGACGAGGAGGAGGAGGGAGGAGGAGGGTGGAGGAGGAGGAGGAGCAGGAGGAGGAGGAGGAGGGGGGGAGGGGGAGAGGGAGGGAGAGGGTCGCCCGGGGGGATGCGTATCTGCCCCCCCCCACCCCCCACCCCCCACCTCCACCCCCCCCAACCCCCCCCACCCCCCGGTGGGGAGGGTAGGGAGGGGCTTCGTCACGATTACGATTTCCTTCTGTTTCGTGTTCGATTTCCTTTTATTTCGGGCGACGGTGATGACGACGACGACGACGACGACGACGACGGTGATCCACGAAGGACGACGACAACGGGATGCGTCTTCCACACGCCGACAGGGTCGGCGGACTCCCCAAATTCCATGTTTGAGCATGTCTGGCCCTCCTGGGGCTCTTGGAGGCCTTCGGAGCTTCGAGGCTTCTGGGGGGGGGGGGGGGGGGGCCTCTCCTACGGTAGTTTGAGATGTTGAGCGGGCCCGTGTGCATTGTCACGCTCTTTGGAAGCATGCGCCGTGATTTGTTTTGACAACCGGACCAGGCTGTCACAGGACATTTCGTATGAAGGTTGTCCAGGATTCTTGCGCAATCAAATCGAAGGCTGTGTGTGTGTCGAAGTATCACGTGCAAGTTTCCTCCTCCCGCGCCAGCTGGTCTTGCACCGCGCTCGGATCCCTCGCAGGGGCTCGAAGGGCAAGGGCAAGGACGGCAAGGAGGGCAAGGCCGGCAAGGAGGGTAAGGCGGGCAAGGACCGCAGGGCCGGAAAGGGCGGCACAACCTTGGTGGCGCCGGAAAGTCGGCGACACGTCAGAGTGAGTTGTCGCCGGAGTGGTCTCTGGGGCTGGCACACCGGGGCCCCCACATGGCCGCATGCGATGAAGTAGCTGCGGCTGCCGCGCTCGGGCTTGGCGCCCCCGCGCCCCCCAGGAGTTGCGCACCAAAGGTCGCCCCCGCGTAGGGTGACTTCTGCGTGCAGCCGAGAAAGGGGGTGGGGCGAGGGGGGCGGCCTTCTGAGGAGGCAGGGGCTTTCTTCCAAGAAGAGGTTTTACAAGGCAGGGGGGGTTCCGGTGGGGGCGTTCACAGAACGCGCCCCCCACTCCCTTGGCATTGTGCTGCTCTGTTTGCCGTGCCCCCGCAAGGACGGTAAGGCGGGAAAAGAGGGCAAGGCTGGGAAGGCGTCCGAGGGTAAGGACGGCAAGGGCAAGGACAGCAAGGGCAAGGGCAAGGCGCGCCGTCGGGGCCGATCAACTTGATGGGAAGATTTACATGTATGTATAGATATATATATATATATATACACACGCAGATAAACATACATGCGTGTAACACGAAGAAAGAAAGAGGGGACAATGGAAACGTGAATATGTGGGAGCACGTGCTCCAGTATCCAGGCCTCCAGGCCTGAACAGAAGCAGTTGCGCATTTATGGTTGCATTGATGTGGGCGCAAGGGCAAATCATTTATATAGTTTCGGGGGGGCACCTCGTGATCATGCTATGCGCTATGCGGTTGTCTTGGCACGAGCCGCGGGCACACGAAGCACTGCTTATGTGTTGCCCTGACCGGGTCAGTGGTGCACGCTCGTGTTAACGTTGTTGCATGTATTGTCAGTTCGTTTGCACAATGTGTTCGTCGGGATTGGAAGAGGAGGAGGATCCGTAACTGCAGGAGGATGGAGGATGAGTCAGAATACCAGCAGCTGAGGGAGGATAGCGCGGACGCAGAGGATGTGGAGGGCGAGGGGGTGGAAGGGGACGAGGAGGAGGAGGCGGTAGGAGCGCCTTCGCCGCCCGCGCCGTCGTAATAGTCTTTGTGAGACCCGTCCCGAGGGCGCAGACGAGCCCAAGGGCAAGGGTTCGAAAGACTCCAAGGGCGCCAAAGGGAAGGACAAGGCGGCCTGCGCGCCCGCAGCCGATCGCGCTGCAGACCAAGTCGCTGTCCCAGCGGCCAGGACAGAATACCATCTCGTGGTGGGGCCCCCGGAGGTCTTTTGCAGCCTCTTGGAGCCTCCGGGGTCCTCCTGTAGCGTCCTGGAGCCTCCTGAGGCCTCTCGGTCGTCGTCAGGCCACCTGCGACCTGCAGCGCCTCTCAGTCCTCCCGAGACCACCTGGAGTCTCTTGCAGCCTCCTAGGGGCATTGGCTTATTGCTGCCATCGGGCTATGAAGTGCCGTTGACCTCTGGTGCATTCGGCTAGCAGTTCAATTTTCACTCAGCAGGCCTGTCTCCATGAGGCCTTCTCAACCGTCTGCAAGTTGTTTGGCGGCCTGGTTTAGCGCATTCCACACTCAACCTTGTAGCCTGCATCCAGTAAGTGATTTGCAACACGGCCCTTTGTCAAGTCGAATCGGTTCGGCAATATTTGAGCACGCACGCACGCACACTTCGCAGGAATGCGCACACGCGTGGCCAGAGTTTCGACGTCCGCAGGACAGCCCTGCTACGTGTGCGTGGTGTTCACGTTCGGTGTCCGCTCCCATCTTCTCCCTCCGCAGAAAAAGTGCGCACCTGTTACAAACATTGCGGCACGCATTGGGCAAGTAGCAATGTGCCAGTAAGTTTTGTTAAGAACGTCATTTGATACTGGATCAAAATCGATGCAACCGTCGCGCAGGGAAAGTGGAAGCCGAAGTGAGGCTATCGTTGCAGCTCGGGTCATGCATGTTCATTTGCGTACTGCCTAGTATTGCGTAGTTCTGAGCGCAATTTGATGAGACATACCATGGCATGCGATTGTGCATGTGAACGCCCATTTTTCGATCCTGCTGATTAACATGTGGTGCATTACCATATTGAGTATGCAAAAGATCGTGGACAGCATTCGCCAGGCATGGCAGGCATGCATTTGGAGCTGGATGTATCGTGGCGGTCCGTCAGGGTCGCATGTGAATTGGTGCATGTTGGCATTACCGAAGACGCTTACGACGAATCACCGCCGCCCCTTGCCTTCTAGAATCGCCCATCTGGCCGAGCGTTGTGGCAAGAGCTCTGCCACGCTATCGGACCACGTGTTTCCCCAATCGTTGTAAAAAAGCAGTCGAGGAACATTTGGGGGAGGACGGCGGCGAAGATCAAGAGGAGGCGGAGGCGGAAGTGGAGGAGGAGGAGAAGGCATCCTGGGAGCCTTTGGGGACACTCTTGGGGCCTCTTGGGAGCTTCCTGGGGGCCTCTTGAAGGCATCTCTTGGGGGCCTCCTTGGGTCTCTTGTGGGCCGTTGGGTGCTTCTCGGGGGCATCTTTGGCCGTCTTGGTGGGCTCCTGGCCCGTCTGACGCCGTCGGAAGCCGTCTTGGGTCCTCTCTGGGCCGTCTTGGGGGCCCTCTTGGGGACTCCAGGGCCGTCCTGGAGGCCATCTTAGGCGTCTTGGAGGCCTCTTGGTTCGTCTTTGGGTCCTCTTGGGGCCGTCTTGGGGGCCTCATGAGCCGTTCTGGGGCCATACTGGAGGCCTCTTGGGCGATCTCGGGGCGATCTTTGGGGGCTCTTGGGCCGTCTCGGGTCGTCGGAAGGCCGAGGAAGCAAATGCCAAAATCCTTCAAGCACCTGAGGGAAATCAATGATTTTGGCATCTTCGTGCATACTTGGAGGAGGCCTGTCGGGCCGTCTTGGACCATCTGAGGGCCATCTCCAGCCGTCTTGGTGGGCTCCTGGCCCGTCTGACGTCGTCGGAAGCCGTCTTGGGGGCCTCTCTGGGCCGACTTGGGGCCCTCTTGGAATGCTCCAGTGCCGTCTTGGAAGCGTTCTTGGGCGTCTTAGAATCCTCTTGGGCCGTCTTGGGGGCCCCTTGGGGCCGTTTTGGGGGCGTCTTGGGCCGTTCTGGGGCCATACTGAAGGCATCTTGGGCGATCTCGGGGCGATCTTTGGGGGTTCTTGGGCCGTCTCGGGCCGTCGGACGGCCGAAAAGAAGCAAATGCCAAAATCCTTCAAACATCTAATGGAAATCCATGAGTTTGGCCTCTTCGGGCCTTCTTGGAGGCCCTCTTGGAGGCCTCGTGGGCCATCTTAGGGCCATCTTCGGCCGTCTTGGTGGGCTCCTGGCCCGTCTGACGTCGTCGGAAGCCGTCTTGGGGGCCGTCTTCGAGGCTTCCTCGGGCGTCTGAGAGGCCTCTTGGGTCGTCTTTGGGCCGTCTTGGGGGCCCTCTTCTCTTGGGCAGTCCTGAGGCCATCTTGGAGGCCTCTTGGGCGATCTGGGGGGCCCCTTGGGCCGTCTTGGGCCGTTGGAAGGCCGAAAAGGAGCAGATACGGAAATCCTTCAAAAACCTTTGGAATATCAATGATTTGAGCCTCTTCGGGCCCTCCCGGAAGGCCTCTTGGGCCGTCTCTGAGGCCTCTTGGGCACCTCTTGGGCCGTCGTGGAGGCTTCTTGGGCGGACTTGGGAGTATCTTGGACCCTCTTGGGGCGTCTTGGAGACCATTTGTCATCTTGAACCATCTCGGAGCGGGAGAGGCATTGACCTGGGGACTTTTTTCCGGCCGTTGAGGTCCCTTGCGCGCCCTTGCGGGCCTTTCCAGGTGACTGGCGGGACGGGCTGGAACCCCAGGGGAAAGTTCTTTCGGAAAAACAAGCAAAACCAAAACCGAAAGGACCCAGCACGCCAGGCACCCCTGTGATGAATCAACAGGGGGCGGCGGATCGAATGACCTTCGTCATATCCCGCCACCGTGCCCGGGTTGTGGGGATGATGAAGCCTATTGGATGTTCGCTGGGATCTCATGGGAGGCTTCTCGGGGGCCTCTTGTTTGGACGCCTCGTGGGGGCCGTTTGGGGGCATTTGGGGGCCTCTTTTGGGCCATCGTGGGGCATCTTGGGGGCCTCTTGGAGCCTCATGGGTGCCTCTTCTCTTGGGACGGGGAGCTCGGATTCTCGGCTCGTGCTCCTTATTTAGAGCCCCTTTGGGGCCCGTCTTGGGGCCCTCTTGGGCAGTTTTCGGCGCCTCTTGATTTTTCTTGCTGCCCTCTTGGGCAGTTTTGGTGTTTCTTGGAGGCCTCGTGGGCCGTATTGGGGCGATCTTGGCGGCCTCTAGGGTCGTCTGGGAGCGTCGGGGAGCCGAAAGGACGACAATGCTAACAAAAGACCTTGAGAAATTCAATGTGTTTGGCCTTTGGAGGCCTTCTTCTTGGAAAGCCTCTTGGGAGGCCTCTTGGGGCGTCTTGAGGCTTCTTGGGCCATCCTGGGGCCACCCTGGGCGTCCTGGAGCGATCGTTCGGCGACTCGGTGCCCTCTTGGACCGTCCTGGGGGCGTCTTGGGGCTCTCCGGGTCCGTCTTGGAGCCCACCTGGGCTCCAGAGAGTCACGCGCCAGGCCGCGGCGGGCAGCGGCAAGCCCGGGGAGATTTGACAATTCGGGCTCCGGGCCCCTAAGAGACCCCTCAGGAGTGGGGATTGAGGCGCTGTGGACGAGGCAGAGAACCTGAGGACACGCCCACTCCGTGCCCAGAGGCACGGTGGCGGATCACGATGTGTGGGAATTGATGGGCAAGATTGCGATTCCAGCAGGTTCCAAGAGATGGAGTTGTCTGAGCCGTTGCCTCACCTTGCAGCGATTTAGAAGGCTTAAGCCTGCTGTATTGCTTCGGAATGTGTGCATCTACTCTGGGCAATAGCCCTTCCTTGGAGTACCATTCGCGCCCTGACACTGAAGGGCCACGGGTGTAGCTTAGATGATTACGCAGTCGTTCACTCCATATCTTATTAACTCGCTGATAAAAGAAGAGCACGCGAGTCACTGATGCCAAGAGGCGGGCGGCAGTGCATGCATCTTCGAATAAGGGTGTTTGAGTCTCCGCATCTAGGTCGACCCGAAGGGAGCGAGGGAGGATGTGAAAGGCAAGGGTTACAGGGAAATGTTTAATAGTGCGGACAGGCAGGAGAAGGATGGATGGAAGAGGATGCGGGAAAGACAAACGGGAGCCCACAAGGTAAGCTCTTTTGACCCGTAAGGAGTTGAAAGCTTGTTCGTGCCTCGAGCGAAACAGGATGGCCCCCGCTGCATTGATGCGATCACAATGTGTCATCCCTTGCAGAAAGGCAGCGGGTGCCATGTCAAATTGCTGCGCGTGCCGAGATGTTTTCGTTCGCGCATGCTTGAAAGACACTGCAGTGGCGATGATATCAGAATTCGAAGTCATGGTAGATCCACTCTTCGACCATCCGTACCGAAGACGAGTCCAGCGAATCACCGATGCCCCCTGCCCTCTTGGAACCGCCTGCGTGGTGAAATGTGGAGCGAAAGGGCGTGTTCCCCCAGCCGCTGGGGAAACTCTTTAGGGGAACACTGGAGAGAAGCCCCCCCCCCTTTTGGCTAAAAGAAGGAGCGACGAAGACCAAGAGAGAGCAGAAAAACCAACGGAGCGCCGACCAAAGAGCCACCGACAACCGAAAGGGCGCGAAAACCAGAGGGCGCCGAACACCAAAGAAACACCGAAAACCCAAGGTTTGCGAAAACGAACGATGCGCCGAAAACCAAAGCGGCGCCGATAACCAAAAGGGCGCCGAAAACGAGCGGGGGGGCCGACAACAAAAGCTCCGAAGACGGACAGGGCGCCGAAAACCAAAGGGGCGGCAAACACCGCAGGAACGCCGAAAACCAAAGGGGCCGAAAACCAAAGGGGCGACGAAACCCAAAGACGCGCCGATAACAAACAGGGCATCGAAAACCAAAAGGCGCCAAAAACGAAAGGCGCGCAGATAGCCGAAAGGCGCCCAAAACCAAAGGGGCGCCGAAAATCAAAGAGCGCCGAAAACCAAAACGGCGCCGAAAACTAAAGGGGCGCAGAAAACCACAAGGGCGCCCAAAACCAAGAGGGAACCGAAAACCAAGAGCACGAGAACCCAACAGGGCGCCGAAAACCAAAGATGCGCCGAAAACCATAAAGGGCGCGCAGAAACCAAACAAGGCGTCGAAAACCAAAGAAGCGCCAGAAACCACATGAGCGCCGAAAACCGAAGGAGCGCCGAGAAGCAAGAAAGCGCCAAAGGCCCAAAGCGCGCCGAGGCTTAAAGAGGCGCCGAAAAACAAAGAGACATCGAAAACCACAAGTACGCCGCAAACCAACGGGGCGCCGACACCCTAAGACGAAAAGTAGCTTCGAACCCCCTCTTCAGCCATGACCCGCCAGCTGGAAAAGCCAACGGAAGAAGGGGGAGAGGGGCAGCTTCGGAAGCCCTCCCCTTGGACAGGGGAGCCCGGGCTTGCCCCGGGTCCCGAAAAGGAGGAGGGGGTGAGCTTCCAAGCCCCCCTTCTGCTTCAGTCAGGGACACCCCAGCTACAACATCCAAACAAAAGGAGGGGGGTCAGGTAGCTTCGGAAGCCCCCCCCTTCAGCGGGAGCACCCCGGTTGAGATATGCCCAGCAAAAGACTTGGGGGGCAGCTTCAGAAGCCCCCCCACCTTGTCCAAGTGGGGGGGCTTGAAGCTGGGCCCCCTCTGTACGTGTTAAGTCGGGCCTGTCCCTCTACAGGAGGAATATTCAAAAATAGATAAAATAAAAAACAAAATAGTCTGGGAACTATTTTCCATTATTTGTTGTGTGACTATTTTTGAATGTTGTTTCTGCTATTGTCCATTTGTCGCCCAAAATCAGGACATGCCCGACCTGATGTTAGTGGGATGAGCGCCGCGACTGCGCTCTTTCCTATGCA